AAAACAAGCTTGTTCCCTCCTCGATATGACATCCCTTCAAATATTTAAACATGGCTATCATATCGCCTCTTAACCTTCTCTTCTCCAGGCTAAACATCCCCAGCTCCTAAGTCATTCCTCATAGGGCTTGTTTTCCAGACCCTTCACCATTTTAGTTGCCCTCTTTTGGACACTCTCCAGTTTCTCCACATCATTTTTGAATCGGTGATCCATTTTAAAATAATTTTCTTTTAAGTCTTGACATCGTGTGAACTTTTGAGTTCTATTTCTAGTCTATTCCCAGCTTTCTAAATCAATAATCTCTTCCAATGTCTGTTGCCCATTTGATCATTGTCTCTTTTACAACATTTTGTTCTAATTCTCTTTTTAACAGTACATCGTAAAATTTTGAAGTCATTTTTGAGCCATTTTGTTTTATTACTATATCTAACTCATTTTCACTTTCTTCAAATCCTTCGCTTTTATAGTCTATTTTCAATCTATTCATCAGTTGTTTATAAGAGAACCAATGAGTATTTGCATCTAACTCTTTTAAGTCTTCTATGGGTTTCATCTCATATTGTCGTCCCCTCTTCTTTTTTAGGATAACTTGATATCTTAACCAATCCGATACTTCTCGCCATCTTCCAAAGAAAGCTTCCTGTGTTGACACCCATAGTGGCAAAGCTTTCGACAAAGTTAAATGGAGTTTCATACTTGAGGCCATCAAAAAAATGAATCTTGGACAAAACTTTTTTGAATGGATCAGGAATATATACAATAAGCAGAATGCGAAATTAATAATTAATGAAGAAAGAAGTATTTATTCTTTTATCTTATTAAATTAATTCTTTGTTTTAACTCTTGTTCAGTTTAATTCTCTTTTAACTGGCTGTGTTTTAAAAAATTTTATTGGGAGAGGGTTGGGATATGGGATTCTTCTTTTAATCTTGATTGTAATTTTAATTTGTTGGGAAAAGGCGTAATAGAATTATTATTATTATTATTATTATTATTATTATTATTATTATCTATTCTAGAACCCATTTATTTGTCTTTCTGGCTGTCTGTGGTATCCTCAGCACTCTCCTCCAGCACCATATCTCAAATTAGTTTTTGTTTTTTTCTGTTGGCTTTCTTCACTGTCCTGCTCTCGCATCTGTACATGGTGATGGAGAATACAATGGCTTGGATGAGCCTCATTTTAGTGCTGAGTTGTATATCTTTATTCTTTAGGATCTTGTCTCATTTTTTCATGGCTGGCCTCCCCAGTCCTTAGTCTTCTTCTGATTTCTTGACTGCTGACTATTCTGATCATTATTATGCATATGTAACTAAGGGCTTGTCTACACAATTAAAATACTTCTTATTCCAGTCAAATAGAATGTGATCTGGCCACACGTGATTTTCAGGTATTTGGACATTTTGATTTCTCCCTCCAAAAAAATTCCTTAAACCTTGAGAAAAAGGGCTTCATATTTTTTACTAGAGTATTCATGGACATCCGCAGGAATGTGCATTATCGTACATGTGGCTGTCTGTTCACTTTACATGGGTGACAGAGGGAGGGTAAATAGATGTGAATTTGCACAGGAAAGTGAAAACAATTAGCCATCAATGTGAATGAGAGAAAATCTGCACCAATTCGCATAATACATGTACGTGTAGACTAGCCCTAAGTAGCCAATGTAGAATATCAATGGTTATACATATACCATTTAAATGGCAAATACCCATTTAGATGTGTCTCCAAGATGTGGTGGTTTAGTGGTTAAGACACCAGTTTTGACGATTGTAAGATCGGAAGGTTGGCAATTTGAGGCCCAGGTGCCGCACAATGGGGTGAGCTCCTGTCACTAGTCCCAGCTTCTGCCAGCCTAGCAGTTCAAAAGCATGCAGATGCAAGTAGATAAATAGGTACCACTTCTCAGTGGGAAGATAACAGTCTTGCTGGCCACATGACCACCAGAGTTGTCTTCAGACAATGCTGGCTCTTTGGCTTAGTAATGGAGATGAGCACCGCCCCCTACAGTCGGTTATGACTAGACATTCATGTCAAGGGACTATCTTTACCTTTTTATCCACTAGAGTATATAAGGTAACTTTAATTTCAATTAGTCTTTCTCATCTTATCATACTTATTGTGAAGTAGTTTCCCCATTCCAATAAACAAACTATAGTATTGTTGTTGTTGTTGTGTACCTTCAAGTCGTTTTTTTCATGTGCTGCAACCTTGTCTAAGGTATCATAGTTGTTAATTCAATGTTATTGAGAATCTGTGACAGTTTGGTAAGTTTAAACTTTTTTTGTGCTAAGGTGCTAGCAGCTTTTGCCAAAACTCTTCTCTAAGCTACTAACTATAACATGCTGTGGAATGAGTTGCCTGCCATGTTGTCCATTGTAGGCCTGTTACTCTTTGTCCCCCTTTGTCTTGTCCAGGTGCCATTGCTAAGGCCACTTACTTTAAGGAATGATTTCAAATTTTTATATTCAAAATCTTCTGCCACCCCTTCTTCCGACTTACTTTCCAGAACTCTTTTCATTTATGTATTTATTTGTTATTATGGTGCTAGTGGCTTGGGTCATTTTAAAACTGAGTTTATGAGGATTAGAATCAAAAAATGAAGTTGCAGAATAATTGGCCAAATTGCTATTTTCTCCTGCAATGAGCCAGAACTATATATAAGGCTATATATAAGAATATTACCTTTGAATCTCTGCTGGATATTTTATTCTGAGGTTGGAAAGAAATTCTTGGTTGTCAAAAAAGATTAATTAAAAATCAACAAACATAAACCTCCTTTGAACAACACTGAGATCAGGGGAAATAATCTTCTACCAGTATATCTAATCTGGCCTACAGGTAGTCCCACCCATCCCAATCTATCCTGCACAAGGTCTGGGGGCACCCTACACTAAGGGTCCACTTCAGTGGGGTACTCCCACATATTTGAATGTTATGAGTTGGTAAGAATAGTAGAATTCTGCCACATTCAATATCTCAGTTGGAATAAGGTGGGAAAAGATTTCTGAATTAAATTCTAGGACCTGCTCCATCTTTCACTGCCACTGCAGAAGTCAAAGCTTAAAAATTGCATTATGCACGCTCAAGACATGTAACAAGAAAAAGAAGCCAGAAAGAGATGGGACAGTATTGCCTAATGCAGTCTTCCTTAATCTTGTTATGTGGGAGCTAGGGCTGGCTGGCTGGCTGTTATAATACAATACTGCTGGAGGGGACCAACACTGGTCCATGTGAGTTGTTCAGGTTGTGTGAATGCACTGAGAGCCAAGCAAGCAGCTGGGAGGTCACTGTCTTCTATCTTCCCTGTATGTCCTCCTCCATCCTCTCTTTCATATACATACATGCAGCCACTTTCTGAAGTACTACCCCACAGGTTGGCAGTATATGTGCATGTGCAAACAACAGAATGGAGTAGTTGCTACAACCAATTCCTGTTGTTCCTTACCATTGGATTTTCCAGCTCTTGCACAGTTGAGTTTGATACATTTTCCATTGATCTTACAAAGGGATAATTGTCATGTAAATCTACCACAAGCAGCATGCTGGAGCTCTCTAGGGCCCTAAACAGAAATTAGAGAAGCACAGCACCTCCCACCAGTTGCTCTAGTGTCATGCCACCCACACAGTTCAGTTTGCCAGCTGAGATAGCCAGAAATACAACTCTGTAGTCAGATGTTGGTTATAGTTGTGTGAGCACCCTTCTGGGCAAGTTGGTAAAGCAATGCCAAACTGCCCAGCATGTGGGGCTAGATTCTAATCCTAGTAAAGCAAGAACCAATAGAGCTATGAACACATTCTTCCCCTGCATATACAGATCACTAACTGGGGGGAAAGTGTTATTTTAGAGTGATTATTTCCTCTGTGAACTAGATTGAGCCAGGCTGGTGCAATATAGCAAATGGATTCTCTCATTTTAATAACAGCTAAATGTCAGTGCTTGGGAAATTGACCCTGTGATTTAAGGTAAGTGTGAATACATCCCTACATCTCTGACTCCAGCTTGCTATCCCAGCTATAAAAGATTTAGAAAATCAGAGAGATACCAGGCATGGATGTGGAAATGGGGAGGTCTTCTTTCCACAGACATCTTTCCCATGGCCACCAAAGCATGTTTTCACCTTCCACCAACTTCCTGTTGCCTCCCAGTATCCCATTCACTATATCTGGCTTTTAACAAAATCTAGTGCAATCCCTGAACACAGCTGCTATAAAATTGTGGGTACATCAAGGTCTACATTCAATAGCTAGTCACAACTAGAGTACTTCCATTGAATTAATTGAAACATGGTGAGTCAACAATGCTCATGCAATTCCATTAACTCAATAGGCTTACTTTAGTTGGGACTAGTGATTGGATTTAAGCCTAGGGAAACAACTGTATAATATGCGTATGTTATTTCATTTGTTAGAAATGTTTGTTGTATAGTCTGAGAGGCTCTTTGCTTCTTAGTTCTATGCAAAATGCAGCCAAAGTATGATTGTCACACATACATGCAACAGATAGAGAATGGAAGAGGGACTTGATATATGCTGGAAAGGTCAGCCTTTGACAATAGTATGGATGAATGAACAGAGCAGATAAAAGTGGAACCGATGCCAAATATGTTCACATACCAGAGGGCTTTACCTTTAAGACCTGTAAATTTTCCATCTGATTTCCTAAATTTTCCATCTGATTTCCATTCCTATAATGCCAATGAAGATTCAAAGCCCCTTTACCCCATCACCCTAAAAGTCTACAATATTGGCTTCAAAGGGCTACAAAATTGTGGCAGTATCCTTTGTTGAGCAAACTTGAGCTCCTAGGAATGTGTGTTTGTACTGAGCCAGACTATTGGCTCATCTAATTCAGTTTTATTTAGGAGCTCTAAATTTACTACAACATCAGCTATTTGATGTTGTAGACCAGCAATTTTATTCTTGGCAAGTAGGTTTGCCACTGCCATCTGCTGATGCTGAGAGAGTGTGACATGCCAAGGTGACCCAGCGGGATTCATGACTCAGCAGGGATTTGAACCCTGGTCTCCAGAATCATAGTCCAACACTCAAACCACTACACCACACTGGAACATTATTGTATGTAACTGAGATTCTTTTTGACTGTAAATAATTTTTAATTTTTTAAAAAAATAAACAATAAAATAAAATGGGAATGTGGTGGCATTGCAGCCAGATTTTTTTTAAATGAACGAATTAACTTTTGGGGAGAAGAAAAAGCCAAATTGTAAAACAAGTTACTATAATGGTAAATAACTAGTTCTGGGGGCTCAGCACTATAGCTTTCTAAAAGCAATATTCTGAGTTCTGGATTGAAGGCACTGGTACATTCATCCAGCTCTGCTAATGAGCACTGGGCAAGATTAGAAACTCCCATCTGCCTCTATAGATGTGTTACATCAAATTCAGTGGGTCCTTGGATTTCTGGATCAGGGCCAGACCACAGACTCTGCCACATTTTCATCAGGTTGCTTAATTCTTCAGGTCCTGTCTTGTGAAGGCAATGCCAAATACTGGTAAGTTCCTAATGGGGAAGAGTGTGGGTGATTTTCCTTTTAGGTAGAATATCTCCCCATTCAATTTCCCCCTATATTTAAAAGAGTTTATTGGTTTGCAATAACTTTGGATGTTTAATCATATTCCACAATTCAGCATTTGCAAATTGTTGCATTATGTTAACTGTTGACTTGGAGGGTGTTGATATACATCACAATAATCAAATTGTAATTCATACTCAGATGGCTTTATGGAATTTGGAACTAGAACATCAAAAATCAAACACAAGGTGACACACCATGCCACATAAGGCTTCTGCTCATACCATTTTTTCCTTGTTGCCTCCCACATCTGGAAAATATTTTAAAGGATATAGGGTAGAGGGGGATTCCACTCCCCTATGTCATATAGCCATAGTTGGAGTTCATCAATACCCATTATTTTTTCAGATTTCTATTCAAATGCTTTAAGAACTTGGCTGGCTCACTCCCCCCCCCAAAAAAAACATTATTATACCTTTCTGTGATTTCTGTGATCTTCAGGGAGTTGACATCCAAAACACCCAGAGAATCAAAGTTTGGCAACCACTGTACTAGTGCTTTTTAGCAGAGGATTCTTAGTATCTTATTAAACTATCCCAATAGGATGGAGTCAACTAACACGACTCCATAGGATGGAGTCATGACAGTTAGTTGCATCAAACTGATATAACTGTACTGCGCATACACACACATACATACATAAACTCATCCCTTCACATTTATGGCTTTGACCTTTGCGGATTTGATTATTCACGGATTTTATTAATATGTTCTCTCTAGGAATATTTAGGTCCTCCAGCACAACTCTATGGTCAATTTTAACCAAAAGTCTCACTGAAGGACCTAGAGATTCCTAGAGAGAACACTCCACTAGGCATTTATTTGTGGCTCCTCCAGTGCAATTCTATGGTGAATGTCTGGCAGATGTTGACCACAGAGTTCCACTGGACGACCTAGAGATTCCTAGAGGGGTGTCTCTCAGGCAAAAACATAGTGTTTTTGTTATTTACAGTTTTTCCATATTCACGGGGGTCCTGTGCCCCTAACCCCAGTGAATGCGGAGGGAAAATATATATATTTTCATTGTTTTCTTTAAAAGCAATGTAGGATGTAGAGGACTTTTAAGTAAATATACATGTTTTGTGGTTGAGGATAAACAAAGGCTCAGTTGTATGTGAACTGTCTCCCAAGCAGGTGATTTCTGTTATTCCTCTCAGGCCACAAGAGAATGATGTAGCACTTGGGGGAAAAAGAGGCAAATCAACAACCCTGCCCCAGAGGCCAAGATGGCGAAGATCTCCACAGCCACAGTGTACTTCCTGCTGGCACTGAGATATAATGGCACAAAGGAGACACAGACAAAAGTGAAGACCAGCATGCTAATGGCAATGTGCTGGGCCTCATTAAAAGCTGTTGGCAGTCGGTGGGCTGGGAAGGCCACTCCTAAGCTGATGATGACTAGCAAACCTATGTACCCCAA